CCAGTTCGCTCCTCTCTAGATAAAAAGATTTTTACAAACAGTTCTGTGATATTGGTTACATTCATCATGTTGTTGTTCAGCTACTATTAACAGAAGCCCAGGGCCTCTTTCTCCTGCCCTGGTAACCACTAATAAAATTGGCTGTCAAGGCATTTGTCTATTCTGGATAAATGGAGTCAAACAACACTTACCTTTCTGTGACAGATTTATCCCATTCAGCACAATGTTTTTCAAGGCTGTGTTCTTTGGTATATCAGGACTTCATCTCCCTTTAGGGCTGCGTACTATTCCATTGCTTCTGTATACCACATTGTATTTAGCTATCTATCTGCTGTTGACCATTCACACTGCTTCTACCTTTTGACTATTATCAATAGTGCTTCAGTGGCCACTGTTGTACAGATGTCCCTTTTTGCTACTCTGGACACACACACCTTGGGTTGGGGTTTCTGGGTCAGATCTGCCGTTTCATTTTCTACAATCAAGACATGTTGCTTGTAGAAAAATTGGGAAATAGAAAAATAGGCTTTACCATAGAAAGGCATAAAGAAGGAAATGAAAATCCCACCACCTAGAGATAATCACTGAGGAAGGGTATTTTTTTTTCCTGATCTTTTTCCCTAGGCATAGCTATTTCTTTATCACTGCCTGTAGCATAATTTCTCTCTGATCATAAAAAACAATGCATGCTCAGGGTAACAGTTTCAAATAGCACAGAACTGTATGAGGAATAAAATGCAAACTACCACAGTTGCACCATCCTCTGAGACACTGACTGCTGATGTAGAGGGACAATTCCTCTCAGTCTTTTTCACTTAGCTGGTACCATATAGGGAGCTCTGAGGGTATAGTCTGTAGGTAGTTGCACTGCAACAAAAGTGGCACATCCGTAGCAATTTAAATCCACCAGTAGCAGGGAAAGATGGACAATCTCCTCTGTGTGATTTACAGCCTCTGAAAACCTCCTGGAGGGTAAGCTATGAGTCAGTTCCAACTCCGTGGCAATAACTTTTGGCCTTTCAGTTAGCAGTACAACATGTAATGCTTGCCCCCTGCTGTTTCCAGAATGCTGTCTACGTTAAGCAATGTGAAATGAACTGCCTCCACCCAAGCTGGTGAGGCTGAGCTCAGAGGGCTTAAGAGGTCCCACGTGTTGTACACTGGGAGGAGCTCTGAGAGCGCGGGTGGTGGGGGGGGAGGAGAGAAACTGACCCCTGAGGGTCTCTCAGATTTCCTGCTGGAGCCTGTGTGCTAAGTCCTCACATTCCTGTGGGGCACTCAGAGTCCCCCAACCTGATACCAGTCAGGCTGCTGTTCTGGGCACATCCTCGGACACACACAGATGCACACAATCCTGGGCCCAGGCAGCGGTGGCAAGGTCAGCATCCCAGGCTCAGATTGGGTCTGTGCCAGGCATTGAGGGACAGCCCAGTCTCCCAGCCCGGGCCTCCACATGGATGGAAAACGGGAAGTGGAGTGTCCCCTAAGACCAGTTGGCGTGATTTGCTGCCCTCTCCCGATGCTGCACTGCCCTGGTTCCCTCCACATGCGCGTGCATGTGCAGGGTCTTTGCTTCTAGACAGTAATCGCTTGGCATCCCTTTTTCCACAGCCCTTTTGTGCTGGCTGGCTTTTGGGTGGTCATTTCCCCTGCCCCTCCCTGCCCGCCTGGCCTCCATTTCTCCAGCTGTGCAAACAAGGTGGGGCCCTGGCTCTGGCTCCAAGGCTTGCCCTGAGGATGGGGTGGGGGATTCTGGGGTCCAGAAGGTATTCTGTCTCCCTGACATCCTCCATTCTCAATCAATCCTCCAAGGGGGTCAGGAGCGAAGGAGACAGTTCTGGTGCTGAGGAGATCGGACCCCTTCACGTTCAAGCTCAAACTCAGCATCTAGAAGGGAGATGAGGTAGGGAGAGGGATTCCCTCTAGAGTTCCCACCTCAGAGGTGCTGGGCCCCTTCGAGCTGCACACCCATCTCTGGAGCGAGCGGGGGTGGGGTAAAGAGGTGAGGTTGCTAAATTCCAGTGTTTGGCCAAGTCTGTCACCTCCCATGGCAGAGGCCCCACCTCGCCAAATTTTTCTTGGGGCCCAAATACTTACTTCCTGTTCCTCTGGAATGGGAGGGGGGAAACAGGGGGCCTCTTTTGGGAGAGTCTTCACTGCTAATGGCTATGGCAGACCCTGGCTGGAAACCTGATCCGTGTAAGGAGCCATTCCCCCCACCCCCATGGCAGTCAGGCGTTTTAGTCAAACCTGGCTCAGAAATTGGGCTGGGGGCTGCTGCAGAGTCTGGCTGCCTTGAATGCTCTTGTGTGTCTCTCTCCCCACCCCCACCTCCACACACCGGAAAGCTCTCATCAGGGAGAAATCTTTTGAAAAACATCTCCTGCCTTCTGAGCTATAAGAGGCCTGGAAGATGCTACGCCGCCTTGGCGGCAGGAGAAGATGAACCACTGGGAGTGCCAACCTCTGACTCTAACCCCCTGTTACCTTGCAAACGTGTGCAGTCAGTCACCAGGCAGGTGATGCCCTTCACCAGGCCAGGATTGGCCAGGGATTGCTGATGCCCTACTGGGGAGGCAACTCCAAGCTCCTGTCCCAGAATGTGGCAAGTGAGGATGAGGGCTGATGGTAGTAGAAGTAGCCTATGTAGCCATGGGACTCAAACTCAGGTATAACACATCGAGCTGGAATCAGTTCACAGCTACGCCTCCAAGTGGGTTTCCAGAGGCTGTAAATCACACAGGAAGAGACTGCCCATTTTCCTCCTTCAGAGCGTAGATTCAAACCACTTGCTTTTGGGTTGGCAGCATAACTCCTTACCCACTACTAGGCCATTGTTGTTGTTGTTGTTATGTGCAGTCAAGTCGCTTGCAACTCATAGCGACCCTATGTACA